AATTGTTTATTCATAGAAACATGAAAACCTTAATGTTTCTTCAACTACATTACGTTAATATTTCATTCAAAGTAAACTAATTTGCATTGATAGTTTGCTCATAGTCAGCTAGATTTCTTTATAGTTCTCTCCTACTACTCAACGTAGTTACCTTAATCGTTTATTCATAGTCAACTAAATTACCTTAATGATTTACTCCTGTCAAGTAAATTGACTTAATATTTTACTCCATTTTAATATTTCCCAATATACCGCGTCAACAAAACAAGAATTATCCAAAATTTCCATACAAGTAAAACTGCTTTTGTGTGTGCTATTTACATACATTTTATGAGTTTTTACCTTTGTGAAAAGTGCACCTGTCTACAACGGACAACATTTCGTGGTTCCATCAGAGTTGTTTATAGGCAGTTTTGATTTTTTTGTTCTTTATTTATTTATTTATTTATTTATTTATTTATTTATTTATGTGAAATATTTATTCAAATAGCAAGCCGGTCGCTCTATGTTTGTTGAGTTCGCCTACCAGCCAACAAAAGAATTAGTTTATAAACTAGTTGGTTGGTTTGTCAACTACCTTAAGTATATAAGTCATCTCCGCAGCCAGTCAATACATGGTGAGAAAAGCCGCTTGATTGTTTTGTTGTTTTTTTTTTACTTTCTTCTATAGCCGGAGTGGCTTTTACCTGTTTAGTTCAGTAGGTTACCAATAGTTATATAATTATTATAATTAGGTAGGTATTTCTTTCTTTCTTAGCTTTGTCAAGTGAGTTGACTGCAAATTTGTTTCCTTTACCCTTCAACTGCACATGTTAATAATATCATTTTTCCTGCTGACCGATATTCCATGAAAATCACATAAGTTGCGGGAAAGAATGGATGGAGGGAATCCAGAACAATTTGAGAAAAAGCACAGCTTCCACGACAAGAAGAAATGAGAGGTACTTCTAAGATTTCTGCATACTAATTTCCTTAAGAATATATTGTTGCTATATGTTTTATGAAGTTTATCCTACTACTTCTTTGTTGTTTTATTGTTGTTGTTGTTGTTGTTGCTGCTGCTGCTTTCAAAATTTAAACATCTGTATATTATAAATCTAGTTTAATCTGCGGTTACTAAAATTCACGTGTTAACAGTCAAACAATTTTGCTGGGATATAAGTCTAAACATCAGCCAGAAGACTAGTTTCTTAACTATGCGTATTCGTGATGCGGTCCTCACCAGAACTTAGAAAAAAAGTAATAAAAAACAAAAAATATACACAGTACGTGGTCATAATAATAAATGGTGTTTCCCTTCTTACGTAAAACGTACATCAATACAATTAAAGTGTATATCCCAAAATAAAATTGCATTTTAGAGATAAAAAGCGATTTGATCTACCAATGTATGCTATTCAAGAGAAAGAAAATGTTAGACACATTCCTTTTTTTACACTAGAGATATCATCGTGAATGCCAGTAATCAGAAATCTCTAAACACTTGTATAGTCAGAGATCAAGTTATCTTCTATAAAATTGAGTAAGATATTTTTCTTGGTAATTTCCGTCTCAGTGTTGATTTTGTATTATAGGAGAGTAGGGACATGGTTTGATTTTAAATTATTAAAAATGTACTTTGGTTCTTTGAATAGTATATAATACCTAAGTGGTAAGCAGTAAATACAGCATCAAATCCACTGTCCACTAATGAACCACTGTAGCTGGTAAACAGTAACGTCAGTGTGTTACCCATTGTTGTGTAAACTCCACCAGGCTTGCTGTACCCGCAGATCTTATCATACAAACCTTAAATAGAAGAAAAATATTATCCAAAAATCGATTTGGTAAAATTGATTGATTTTCTTTTATTAATGCTACGATAATTTCCAGTAAAACGTCACTGACAATTACAAAAGACGAAACATTGCAAGTATGGCCCAGATAAATTGGCGTTCAAATGGGTCATTACATTAACCATCTAACAGTCTTAATAAGAATAATTATTCACACGTACAATAGTCTGACGTCAAAGTTCGCATTATCTTCATATTACTAAACCAGCAGGAAAACATGGAATACCCACAAAGCCGTCTGTTATCAGGTGTTCCTCATCCCACTACCCCACCCAACCACCCTGTCTATTAGAGGACAAATATATGTTAGTCCACAAACATCTTTAAATTAAATATTGATGTTTCAGTGCTTGACTTTCTAATTAACAAATATAGAGCGAAACTGTTGTGTATTAGGATGGATGGAATTAGAGTCCAATCATTTCGTTTTGTTTAATTTTGTTTTGTTTTGAGGGTTTTTTTTTGTTTTGTTTTCTTCTTTTCTTTGCTGTTTATGTGTACGGAGACGTCGAATGTATTGGGACTATAATGATACGTGTCGTCTCTTATGTTCCTCTCTGTAGCCCCCTTCTCCGAAAATTATACTCACATGTGTTGTGCTTTGTGTAAAGAAATCTTATTAAAATTTGGATATGACATAACGGGGCACCGGTACGAGGTCATGTTCTACTGACACGTTAACCAATCAGATCACAGATTTCATATTTATGAAAGTAAAATAAAATAAATATGGTTTATCAACTCTCTCTCTCTCTCTCTCTCTCTCTCTCTCTCTCTCTCTCTCTCTCTCTCTCTCTCTCTCTCTCTCTCTCTCTCTCTCTCTCTCTCTCCTATCTTTGATAAGTAGATAATAATAGATGGATGAGAAACTCCAAAGGTCACCAGAACATGAACGTTTGTTGGTTCCTGTTAGACCTACTAATAATAATTCTCGATTTAAGTCAGATTGGTGCTGCAATCTAGCGGTAAGGATCTGTACTTGTGTATTGTTGTTTTTAGAAATTCTGACGAGATTCTGGTATATGAAAATACTTTGATTTCTGACACATTAATTAAAGAGTCAAATTTAACAAGTGTGGTACCAATTGACAATTGCACTCCTTAACTGTGTGGTTAGAGTCTAAATTGGAATCAGACTTGTCAGAGTCTATACAATAGGAAATATCTTTTACAGTCTGTCAAGCAAACCATACTGATATACTGTTTTATAACAAAGGCGAGTCTAAGCTTTAATCAGCTGAGGATTTGGTTTAGAATATGTATATTAACACTTTGACATAATACTGTTTAGATGAAAGTTATACATGTACTTTGCAGCCAGTATAAGGACTGTATACACGTGCATCTCAAGATAGTTCGTAGTTCAATGTTGGAATCCATGGTAAAGGGTAGTTCGATTCAAGGGCGAGTATTTGTTTTGTTGACCTCGAGGAAACCGTATCTACCAAAATATTTGTGTATACCCATTTTGAAATATTTTATCAGTGATTATCCTAATATTCGAGTTTACCTGAAAGCCTTGGAGAGAGGATGTTCGGTCCGTCAAATAACTGGAGAGAGTCGTCTGAACAGTACATAGTGCTCTTGATATCAACATTCTCGAAATAAAACTTAATTCTATTGTATATAGAGGGCGCCACAATTGTCAGTGTGCATGTCATACTTTTATATGAATACATAGACGTCAATTGCAGCCTTCCATTATCTATCCCATAATAACTCATGTTAATGGTCTGACCACAGTGGTATGCCATGTAATCTGAAACGACAAAAAATATAATTTTAGTACATAGATGTTGATTCTAATCAAGGGCGTGCATTCATATAGCACGATCATACAAAGCACAAGGGTCCACTATATAATTTATGATATTATAGATTATGCAGGGGCCCATCAGTAAGCTTTGCTTAGTTGCGTATATATATATATATATATATATATATATATATATATATATATATATATATATATATATTGTAAAATATAATATTTCAATATATCTTTTAGGATCTTATTAAAACTGATAGATATTTAAAAGCAATATATATATATATATATATATATATATATATATATATATATATATATATATATATATATATATATATTGCTTTTAAATATCTATCAGTTTTAATAAGATCCTAAAAAATATATTGAAATATTATATTTTACAAACGTTATGAAAAAAGTAATGCTTCAGGTTTGTATCATCTCATTATTTATATATATATATATATATATATATATATATATATATATATATATATATATATATATATATATATATATATATATATATATATATACATACACGCGCGCGCGCGTACCTACACATACAATAAAGAGAGAAAGAGTTCTAACTGTAAAGTCAGCACTTCATTCAATAATCACATTAACCATAAGCATGGGTCATTATTCACGGATATCAGCTACGCTCTCTTAGTTATTGCTTTGTTTCCTTTTAGAGTATGTTTTCACATGATTCTATTTAGTCAATAACGTTTGTGGCTTGGATTTCCCAAATCAGACTTTTTAGCTTTAAATTTAAAACGAAATATCAAATCAAAGTAGAGCACATGCAGACGTGAATCATTGTTTCGAAATTTATATCTGAATATTATATTTTTCCTGTAATAATACTAGATTTGCAAAGTTCGATTTTCAGTCATCTCGAAATCTACTTCTGTCCCGGTTATGCAAATATTTAAAACCAGGCACGAAAATTGTTTCAAAACAACACAGTTGCAAAAAAAAAAAATGTTTCATCGTTTCTTCATCACTGTTGCGTAAAACGCCCTTCACCAGCTACAAAACCCATTTGAATCATGACAGTCGGTATATTATGGTTAATTCTAAACTGGAGCCATCATATAAAATTGTATGAAAGTAATTTGTAAGGAATTGAATATAACTTATTAAACCCATTTATATCTTTAGAAACGTTGAATTTAATTTTCTATATCACAGATTAGTAATTCGACCAATCCTATTCCTATTAAAATATTAAGGGACACAGGAGCTTCTCAATGTCTTTTATTGTCGGGTACTTTGCTTTGTCTAAGAGATCTTCTTCTAAAAATATTCTTTTTTAGGGAGTAGAGTGCGGTTTTATTCTAATTCCTCTCCATAATATTAATTTCGCATCAAACTTAGCTTCAAGAAACCGCTCTGGTGGCCTAGTGGTTAGAGCGTCTGCCTCGGATGCAGGAGGTTGTGGGTTCGATTCGCGGCCGAGTCATACCAAAGACTTACAAAAATGTTGCTAACAGCTGCCTCGCATGACGCTCAGTATTAAGAAGTTAGTCGCCGGCCTGGTGTCAGGATAATTTGACTGGGTGGGATATCTTGCTACATGTCTGCGGAATGATGCCCAAGTGCTAGACATCATTATAAACTGCCACAATGCACACATCGCAGCGATATGACTGAACAATTTGTTAAAGCTACGTTAAAAATCTAAATCACACGCATACAGACTTGGCTTCAGAGCCAGTGACTGTTTGACTATTGGCGTTGTGACATTTATTTGTTGCTAGGAATGACTTAGCTGTTTAAAAAGTTGTGAGTTGTAATGAAAAATTGATGATCTTTTATCAGAGACCCCCTCCGGCCCTCCCAAAACGTTGTAAGTTAACATTTTTGTCAGCAGCCTTTGTTAGCTCAAAACGATGACTTTACGTGATAAGGTTTTTCTAACACATTTTCTGACAAAAATATGTTTTGTGGCCGAGGGTCTCTAAGAAAAGATACATCAATTCCTCAATGCTACTAAGTACTTATTGGTTAAAAATGTTATATTAAACAAATAAAATAACATATATATATATATATATATATATATATATATATATATATATATATATATATATATATATATATATAATGTACAATACTTCAATCAGACATGTTGGATTCGATCTAACCAACAGATTTTGTAAAAGATTTAATTCGATCAAAGCAGCGCCAGGGTATACTGGTATAAAACCTAAAATAATAAGCGATTGCATTAAAAAGGTGGGATATTATGTATCGCCGAAATATGGATCAGTGTGGTTATTCGCAGTTGAAAACGATGTGAGAATAGCGGGATGGGCAGATGATGTGATGATATTTATTGACAATATGGTTGATATATTATTCGATAACGATATTACTAAAGCTATACAAAATTAATTAAACATCTACTTTTTATCATAATCTTTTTTGTATTTGCTAACTCTCATTGGCAGAATATCTGTTAACAGACTATCAGTAATGCGAAACTCGCGTATTAAATCGTCCATATCATATTTTATACCACGTAAATAAGATCGAATTTGATCGAATAATTTTTGATAGGTTATACTCGCTGTTTTGCAAGCATTTCTTTTAGTCGTTAGTCGAGGTTCAACTTTTTTACACACTGCTGCAAGGGAAACGCCGACACCAGATATTATTAACAAAAACGGATTTAATGATGCACCACTTGAAATTATACCAGAGCCGGTCATTAGCAGCTGTAGATAAGATATTACTCGCAGTATTTTGGTATAGTATTTGTAACATTTTTTGACGCACCAAAGATTTTTATGATAGTATCTGTAATATTGCATTAGAGAGTCAACATCTCGTTTCGGAATGTTTTCTGAAATATGATTGAAATCGACTATATTTTTTTCATTATATAATATTTTTTACATATTTTTAAGTAACTAATTCTGTAGTTTCAGTTACAAATTCAATACACCACCAGTAAGTAGTTGCTGTTAACTTTGCATTATCCGCTATCAGCATAAACGTTTCCTCAACATCTTTGTTTAACACAATAGACACAGTTCCAGAAAAATCATCGGTTGAATGACGCCATGGAAATGTTGTAAATATACTAAACTTTGCACTACTAAACAAAGACAATCTATATACACCAGTGACCTCCGCGATATGTTTAAGAGTTATTTTGCTGCGACCATGTTGCTTTTTCTGATGCTAGCGTGTACACAATATTTTTAATTTGTTTGTGAGGAATTTAATAAGATCAGTTTTTTTGAATAATGTCAGGAATGCCACTAGTTATATAGTTAAGTCTTGAGTTAATGTCAGCGAGATTAATGATAGTAGTTGGTGGAGTTCAAAAAAAATCATTATTAGTTCTGTTTATGTTTCTACGAAAATTTAGAAATGTTTGTACGTGATTAAAAACTCAGTTCTAAATGCGGCAACTCCATCATTGATTGTTGTTAACGAAGTCGTTTTTTGAATTTCTTTATCGTCAACATATTTTTTAGTTGCAGCGTCGAAATCCGTTTCTGGTGTTCTGAGATTATTAATACCATTGTTATTCATATTCAGAAATGCAAGCATAATACCACCGCGCACTGACACATACATAGATTCTTGATCGTCGACGTATTTTGTGTTGTTGCATCTGTATCTGCGGTTGGGTTCCCAAGATTTGTAACTTTTTTCCCTGACATTATTATGTCGCCAGTAAATAGATCGCCAGCTTTCTTAACATAATTCGTTAACTGACTTGCCCGAATCTTGTATTTTACCTTGGTCAGCAAAAGTAACTATATTATTAACAACCGCGGTGGGAATTCGTACAAGTGCATCCGATAGTTGTATATTGCTCGTTTTTAATCGTCCTTCTTTATCTTGAAAAAATAACAACTTCATTTTGATCTACACTCGTGACATTTAATAAATTAGTAATTCATTTTTGAGCTGATCAAGAGTTGCATATTTAGATAAGTCACCTTGTTGAGCAGGCGCTGAACCTACCAATGTTGTTCCAAATTTTGAATAAAAACTCATTATTTATTTACTCCTTGATAAAATTATATACCATAATAGTAATGGCAAATCGTCGATATTAAACTTTGATATAAAACGTTTGGTGAAGCATAAATATAACAATGAGCTTCCAGATTGTCATTATCTTATCGTTGGTAGAACTGGATCTGGCAAAACAAATTTGCTAATGAATTTTCTTCTCGGAGATAATTTTAACTACGGTCGAGTTTATATTTACACAATTAATCCGCAGCAAGATAAGTACGAGCTACTTAACAATTATAATGACAAACTTCGTGACGATCTTGAATCTGGTGAGGATTTCTTTATTATCAAACAACCGGAAGAACTTATTCCAGTTAATCAACTCGATTCGTCCGAACATAAAATAGTTGTTTTTGATGATATCCCGCTAAACAACGAGGAAATGAATAAAATCAGATCGTATTTTTCACTGTCGCGAAATAAAATGTAATTCTATTTATCTCGCTCAATGATATTATGTCGACAGATTTATTAGGCGAAATACTGGTTGTTTTATATTATTTCCAGGACTTGACAATATTGACGTTAGAAATATCGCGAACGAACAATGCGGCGACGTGACAAAAGATAAATTTATTGAACTATATCGTCAAGCAACGGCAAATAGATACGATTTCTTTTTATTCGATAAGTTAACAAATGAAAAGAATAAAATGTTTCGATGTTGTATTGAAAGCTATCTACAATAATTTTTATAGAAAATAGTATATAATTATTCGAAAAACAAGCAAAGTACAGAAAACATATTGAGGATCTAAAAAAACTTGCGCAATCTCAGACAAAATTTAAACAGCTAGTACAGCAAGCACGACGCGGTCAAGTTGTTGCAGCAGAAACAGCAGCTAACGTTCTCAATTAGTTACTAAGGCTTTACTTGAAAAACAACCCGAAACTAAACCACTATCAGAAGAAGAAGTTAAAAAGTTACAAGAAAAAGGTTTACTCGGATTACTTAAAGAAAAACAAGAGGCGGCTGCTGGAAGAATTATTGAGAGATCTGATGCGGAAAAGAAAATATTAGCTGAAGAACTTGTAGCAAATATAGCTGATAATGCCGCGAGACAAGCTACATTGGATTGGTTAATAAATAATCCTCTAGAACTTGAACGAGGATTAGCAACATCAACATTGCAAGATGTTAAAAAATCTTTTAAGAAATTGATCAGGAGAAATAAAAGATATTAAAGAGGAGCAAAAAAGAGTTGGTGAACTTACTGTAAAGTTTATGGAGGCTGGAGAGCAAAGAAATTTTTTTCAGTAAAAAACCAAATGAATTAATATTAGATAATGAATATCATGTTTTTTTAAGAAAACAATGATATAAATGATATTGATAATATAAACTTTTGGGCAAAGGAAAGATTTGACACACTCAATGATATGTTATCAAGGGTAATAGCAGACTCTGATAAAGCTGAAAAAGAATTGGATAAAGCCATAAAAAAGGAAGATATGCTTCCACTTCTTGATAGAATAAGACAAGGTGTTATAGCTTATACTTTCTCCGAAACAGCGAATGGTGGTAGAGAAAAAGGTTATGGTTATATAAATATGTTTATATAAGGTCATATAAATAATCTCGGTGCTGTATATTTAATGAAAATATTCATAATAGTTTTATTAATAAGATCAAGGTCTGCTGCAATGGCGTTTAAATGATGTATTGTTTCGATTATTTGTCGTTTCACACCCTCATAATAATGTTGAGATAAAGAAGAAAATAATTTTTATTCAAATTATTATAAACATTCGCAAATTCAGTTTTTATATCATCTGAGTATGTTTCAAAGAAATCTTTATTAACGGAAAAATCTATGCCTGTAAAATGTGCATGCCTTTCCATATCAAGTATTGTAATATATTTTATTATGAGACTATAACCATAATAAATCCGTTCGGTCTTTTGATATTCTGGTTGTTTTAAAAATATTTGGTTATCTGTTTTAAACTCTTCGATTTTGGGCTCTGGTGGAACTTGATAATCTGGTGCGACTTCAGGCCATCCTAACACTGATCTAATTGAACTTTGATAAATATCTACAGCATAATCAGGAGAGTTTATTTCAATCACCGACGATAATGTTGGTTCGTAAACAGTAATTGCTATTTTAGACTCTTTTCCGGTTAAAGACTTAATTCTGCGCTGGAATTCTTCATTAATCTGTTCTAACCGATAACTACCAGTTGGAATACTAACAACTTGCCAATCGGGAATTCCATCAGACTTATTTTTATTTGCAAATACTAATGAATTATTTGCTGGTAATCCACCGAATGGTTTTGATCTAATATTAGGCCAGCTATAATAAACACGTAATTGAGCTAATGCTATCTCTTTTACTGAAATTGCGATTGGAACATTAACGCTAAATTCAGGATTGGTCGAACTGATATCATAGTAGTTTTTGAAGGAGTTGTATT